TCTGATATTTTATTTCTGGGTAAGAGAAAAAGCATTTTGGTCCATTAATTCACCTACTCGCTCCTGGAGGACATTAACCAACTCTGCTATTACGAAGACATGAGTGTCATCGATATCTTGAATGATGAACTTCTTCCCCAGGGCATTGGACTCATCCAAGTACAGTAGAAACTGCTTCATGGCAGGATCGCTGGACAGAGGAACGCATAATTAGAAGACATCTTGAGTCAAACCAYACACAAAGACTTGAGCAAATAGAATTTTTAGGATGATTAAAGTTCTGAATGATTATGCAATTCATTTTATCTCTGCCTCAGTATGAATTATTTACACAGATAACTTTCTAGACCTGTTAGTGTACATTTAAGAGAAAGAGGCACTGATAAATTTTTCACCTTCAAGGGGAAAAAAAGAATATTCAAAGCTTTGTAGTTAATAGGACCTAGAGTCAGTTTCCTTAACTGATTAAAAAAAAATGAATTTCCTTACTTATCCATGATGATTACATTTAAGAGCCAATAGTTGTTCAGTTCTTTCCTACGACAAATTAACTTCTGAAACGTTAGTAATTTTGATAAGTCAGGGTATATAGAAAGTTAGATCAGGATTCAAGTCCAACTTCAACATTTACCTCTTTGACCCTGATATGTACTAAACCTTTCAGAGCCTATGTTTCCAACCATATGGGAGTACATGTAACAGAACTGTTATGGAAATTAAAGGAGATAAATGCCAAGACAGTATTCGGCTTGCAATAGGTACTAGAGTTTTTTCCTTTCAGAAAATTCAGAATCTGAAGGAAATCCTAATAAAACCACTTTGAGAATACTGAGCTCAAAAATTCAAAGAAGATCCAAATTCAGTTGTATTCACTGGTGAATTTTTTAGTTTGTACTAAGCAGAGTAGTTATAAAAGAAGGAGGAATACAATTTCTTGGTAGGTAGTACAGATTTACAGCATTAAAAACCCTGAATAATGACAAAGGTCAAAAAACCATAAGAATGCCAAATCACATGCAATTTTTTTTTTAATTTTTAGAGAAAATGTAATTTTGCACGATCTTTTGGTGCTCTGAGGAATGTCAAAATTAATTATAAAGACAACAATTTAATCCAAGAGATCAGTGCAATTTACTGATAAGTTTTATTTAAGTACAAACAAGTATTAAATTAACAAAGGAAAGGATTTACTTCAGTTACTAGGTGAGTACGAACCTTGGAGTTAATTCTGGAGAGTTTGGCTTTTACCGAATGATATGATTTAATCTACATACTACAAATTTTATTTTATTTTTTTTAATATTTATTTTTCAGTTCTCGGCGGACACAACATCTTTGTTGGTATGTGGTGCTGAGGATCGAACCCGGGCCGCACGCATGCAAGGCGAGCGCGCTACCGCTTGAGCCACATCCCCAGCCCCATACTACAAATTTTAAATGTGAGGATACTAGTTGCTGCACTGAGAAAAAACTGGAAGCAGCAGAGGAAAGGGTGGAAACAGGGAAAACGTGGAAACCTCAGTAATCCAGATGAGAGATGATAATGCTAAGGACCAGGAGTTGGTGGTGACCCTGGAAATGAGAAGTGGTTGAATTCTGGATAACTGTGGACATACAGCCAACATAATTTGCTGAAGAGTAGACACGAGCTTTGACAGAGAAGAACCAAAGAGATGCCAAGGAGCAATGGAAAAGATGAAGCTATTTTTTATAGAAATGACATGACATGCCACCAGCTCCCTGAGGACAGCTACAGAGAAGAGTGCAGGAACCGAACCATGGACATTCCATAATCAAAAGGTTAGGAAGAAGGGATGGGGTTGTACTTCAGTGATAGAGTGCTTGCCTAGCACGTGTGAGGCACTGGGTTCAATCCTCAGCACTATATAAAAATAAATAAAATAATGTGTCCATCTGCAACTTAAAAAAAAAAAGAAAGAAAGAAAGAAAAGAATCGTCAGGAAGGACTCAGCAAAAGAAATTATGAAGAAGAGACCTAACGTGTTCCAGAGCTACCGGAACAAAACTGTTCTAGAAAAAAAGGAGTGTTATTAAAAAAAAAAATTGTGTTATCTGCTGTTCATAGATGTAGTAAGAAAGATGAGGACCAAGAACTGACCACCAATACACAAAGTTATTGACCTTGACAAGAGCAATTTGGATGGAGTCACAGGAGGAAAGCTCCCTGGAGGGGGCTTCAGAATGGGCAGAGAACAATTAGAAGTGAATAGAAATAGGTGTGCTGAGAAAGCCCACGACAATAAGCAGAAAAAAATGGGAGCACCAGGCTTAGTGGTGCATGCCTGTAATTCCAGCGGCTTGGGAGGTTGAGGCAGGAGAATAGTGAGCTTAAAGCCAGCCTCAGCAGCTTAGTGAGGTCCTATCTCGAAATAAAAAAGTGCTGGGATGTGGCTCAGTGGTTAAGTGCCCCTGGGTTCAATCCCTTACCAAAAAAAAAAAAAAAAAAAAGTTGGAGCTGGAAAGGGATGTAGGCATCTGAAAAAGTAGGAGGAGCAATAGGCTGCAGGGCCAGTGGAGCTGAAGAACATAGAGAAAAGGTATTGAGGAAGCCAAGTGGAAAGAGGTGTGGTGATCAGAGTCAGATGCCAGAAAATGAGATTCTGAGATTGCAGCACTGAAGAGGACAGGTCTGGGCATGACTGTGAATGAGTGGCTGTAGCATGGCAGAGGACAAGCTCATTGGAGCTCAGGAAATTGAGTGTGGGGTATCAAAAGGATAGTCTACATAGATACTGAAAGCACTAAAGATTAGATAGGAGAGCTATTGAAAAAAAAACCTTCAGAAAAGATTTGGGTGTTTGTGGGTAATTATAAAGAGAATGGCTGATGACTGGCATAGTCTGAGAACCTGAGACTCATGGGTGTTTCTATAGAAAAAGATGGAAGAATTTCCGGAAGTGGTAATGTGGAGTAAGGTAGGTACCAAACCATTTTTTTGGCCAAATGGCACAAGATATATTGGAGGATAAAAGTGACCACTTGGTAGAGGAGGAGAAACCTGGTAATGCTGGGATCAAACAGGACCTAAAGAGAAGGCAAGGTTTTGTTACAGGAAGAGAGAATGTTCAGAAGAGGCTCAAGATATAGGGGATTCTGGGCCAGARTTGTGGCTCAGTGGTAAAGCACTTGCCTGGCATGTGTGAGGCCCTGGATTTGGTACCCAGCCCCAACCAAAAATAAATAAATAAAATAAAAATGGAAAAATCCTTGGTACCCATCCCCAACCAAATAAATAAAAATCTCTCTCTCTMTATATATATATAWAAAATAGGGGATTCTGCTGTGTGTCCCAGAAGGCAATGTAAAAAGGATTGGGGGAGGGTAGCAGAAGAAGTAATTTTTAAAAAATGGGCAGAGAGAGCTGTAAGACAGCAAGATTCCAAGGGATGAGGGATGGCCTGGAGTCTGCAGCTTTCTGGGTGACTGGCCAWCAGGAAAAAATAGGCATAAAGGGCAGAATGAGAATGAATATCTCAAGGTAGAAAGAGCTGGTGATGGATGAGAGAGAAAATGGGGTCTTTGTACAAAGAGATACACAATGGTCAGATTTAAGCAGATACAGAAAATGTTAAATTTCCTATCTTCAGTCTTTCCCTTAACACACTACACATTGAAAAATTTCATTGAGGCAAACAAATTAATCACTGACAAAGAGCAATAAGAGAAAAAGAAAATTAAAAAGAGCTTAAAAAGCAATTCTAGAAGGAACCTGGGGCTGACAGCCAGTTTAACAGGGTACATCCAGATGATATTACAGAAAGAAAATGAGGAGGGAAACCAGTTTCCGCTTCTTTAAAACTATAGTTTTCTTACTCAGATTCTTAAAAACAAAACAAATACCAGCATTTCCCTGTTTTCTTGCCTATATATGGAGAAGAGGGTGGGGGTGGGGCTAGAGCAAAGAGTAAAGAGCAATTTAGGAGTAGACATAGGTGAGGGGGGAGGGAAGACAAGATCCCTCAGTTTTAGAGTTCAACCACAAAGCTACACCCTTCCTTTCCTGCAACAAAGAAAAGAGAGGACTCAAGTGGTGACCCTGGTGCTCACTTTACCCTCCAGGGCCTTTTGGTCCTTGACTGTTAAGATAGTTTCAGGCTCTGTTAAGAACCTCAAAATATCCTATTAAAAAATCACACACTCAGCTGTCCTAGAATATACTTTATAATCTTCAAATCAATTACCTTTTCTAACTTCCCAGCATGACTGGTACAAAATCAAGAGTTTAGCTGAGTGTGGTGGCACACACCTATAATCCCAGCAGCTGAGGAGGCTGAGTACCGAAGCAACTCAGCAAGACCCTGTCTCTAAATAAAATACAAAATAGGGCTGGGGATGTGGCTCAGTGGTCAAGTGCCCCTGAATTCAATCCTTGATACCCATCCCCAACCAAAAAAAAAAAAAAAAAGTAGAAAGAATTCAAGTTGATTTTCAAGCATATACTGAAATTGTGGATAACTGTAATGGTTTGAAAGACTCTTTTACTATTATTTTTTGTTTAAAGATATTCAATGTTTAGGGGGTGTTTCAATATGAAACGTGAGGCCTTAAAATAGTCTTGTCTTAATAAAGGGATATTCTAATTTKTCATGGAGTGTGGGAGAATCCTACTGGCATGGAGAAACAAAACAAAACAAAAACAAAAACCCAAACCGAGTTCATATAAATACTTGGCCAATGTCCTGGAATCAGGGATATTGAACAGAAAAAAATGTTTTTGCAAAGGGCAGATACCTTTCCTCTCAAACAACCTTAGTATATAGCTTCTATAAATGTTTCTGGGGAAAAAAACAAATTTACCATGTTTCTACCGAGACTACCAACTCTATAAATTTAACTGGTCAAAGTTGTTAGTACTGTCCATCCAATAAAATAATAATCTTGACTTAATGGTAAATCATCCCTCTGATGATAATTAGGCAACCAGTATATTATTTAAAAATTTTAAAAGCATTTTTTCATAAATAGAATGTTTTAGAAAATGTTACTGAWGGGGCTGGGACTGTAGCTCAGTGAAAGATCACTTGCCTAACAGGTGTGAGGCACTGGACTCGATCCTCAGCACCACATAAAAATAAATAAAATAAAGGTATGCTATCCATTTACAACTACAAAAAAATTTAAAAAAATATTACTGAATATGAAATGGTTTTGTTCAATTAAGTTTATTCCCCTCTTATGTTTTTTCTTTTTTCTCTTTTCTTTCCAGTACTGGAAATTTTATATTTTTAAAATTTTGAAGCCTAATGCACTGCACAACTATAATCGCAACAGCTTGGGAGGCTGAGATAAGAGGATCACAAGCTCAAGGACAGCCTCAGCAATTCAGCAAGGCTCTGAGCAATTTAGTGAGACCGTGTCTCAAAATAAAAAACAAAAAGGGCTGGGGGTATACTTCAGTGATAAATTGTATCTGGGGTCATTCTGCACTACCAAAGCTAAATAAATTTGGAGATAGGGTCTCGCTAAATTGGCCAGGTTGGCCTCAAACTTTTAATCCTCCTGCCTCAGCCTCCCAAGTAGCTGGGATTACAGGTGTGTCTCATCATGTCTGGCTCAAATGTTTTCAAAGTCTGGGTTTTGTCTGAACAGATATATGGGGTTGGAGATTAAGGTCTAGCATAATGTATGTATTCAATAAATATTTGGTTCAAGCCATAAGAGAAAGGGACATCAGGGGCGATATTACGTTAACCAGAATCACAACTTCTAATTTCCCAGCATGACTTATAGGTTTTACCATTACAAAGACCCACGGTTCTAGGTAGAGTGACGGACTCATCCTAGTCCTAAATGACTCCATTTTCATTTTTTATCCTGGTCTGCTGGCATCTAGTACAGGACCTAACCTCAAAACAATGGCTTCCTGGAAGTTCTACTTAATACTTTATCCATTCTGATTCTCACTGTAGAGATAGAGGCTCTAAAGAAACATTAAACAACCTGGAATTTAGGCTGAGATCACAAACTGTGATTCAATTCTATTAACAAAATTCAACCAGTAAACAAATATTTACTAAGCATCTCCTATTTATCTATCTACCACTGTTTTAGATGCCTGGGAAACTTCAATAAACATGGCTTTATTAAGAAGCAAAGGCTCCAGTAGCTTGAAAGGCTGAAAGCAGGAGGACTGAGAGTTCAAAGTCAGCCTCAGCAACATCGAGGTTCTAGGTAACTCAGTGAGACCCTGTCTCTAAAAAAATACAAAACACAGGCCTGGGGATGTGGCTCAGTGGCCGAGTGCCCCTGAGTTCAGTCCCAGGTACCAAAAAAGACTTATAAATAGTATAAGAAAATAAGACTGGTTTTGCCTTAGGTCTTCCTACTTGCTTCTCAGATAAAATATAGGTTCAGATCAGGTTGGATTAATAATACATATTCCTCGAGATTCTTTTCAGCAATTATGCTGTAARCTGGTTGGAATTTGCACATGTGCAATAAATCTTTGCTGCTGAACAAACTGTATAAGTGCACACAAGGTCTGCTCTAGTACCTGGAATGGGACACAAATGTTTTGTTGGGCATATGCTACTTTTTCTGTAACTGCTGTGGTTGGCTAGATTTGGGAAAATGCTGAATATGAGCCTGGCAGTTGATGGTGGATCTCGAGAGATGTTTTCACTAACCTTGTTTTGACATAAAAATGCAAATTCATAAACATTTTTTAGTTAGTACAAAAAAAAAAAAAACAAAACTGAGGGTTGAACTCAGGGCCTCACACTTAAATATTCAGTTCCAGCTTTATCACTAAGCTACATCGCCAGGCCCCTGGCCTTAAATTTCTGGTACCTAATAATCCTTGGGAGGAAAGAATTTTATAACCCAATGCCTTGATTTTTTTCTATTCACTGAAACAAGGTCTAAATGGCCACAATAATCTGGTTTATTTGCTTAATGTAGTCTGTTAAGTAAAAAATACAGGAGATCATTGTTTTGGACTTAGCTCCTGTACTTAGTAGGCTAAAAATCAAAATGTAGTCACTCATGCTCCTTATAAAAAAAAAAAATAGTAATCTGTTAATCAATTTTCTCCTCCTTCCTCCTTCTCTACTGGGGATTGAACCAACAGGCATTCTACCACCGAGCTACATCTCCAGTTCTTTTTGAGATAGGGTCTTCCTAAATTGCCAATCTCGGTCTCAAACTTGTTGTGATCCTCCTGCCTCAGCCTCCCTAGAGTAGCTGAGACTACAGGGGAACATCACCATATCAGCTCTAACCAGTTACTTTCCCATGGATCCAGCTTATTTCCTTTACATGAAAAGGTGAAACTTCTTAACTTAATAAGGATTAAAAAAAAAAGTTTGAAGTTTCTAAGATTCACAATAAGAAGGAATCTTCTATAGTGAATTGATGAAAAAGAAATGTTTTGCTTTTGTACCTCAACCCACTACAGTTATGGCCACAGAGTGTGTTAAAAGCCTATTTAAGAGGGAGAAGGCATTAAATTTGTGATTAGGTACTATCTGTAGTTTCAGGCATCTACTGGGGTCTTGTAAGTTACTTGCTGAGGATATTGGAACACTGGCCATTTATCACACCACACCATCAAAGAGTTTGCATCAAAAACCACCACTTTGCCAGATGTGGTAGCACACACCTGTAATCCCACTGACTGAGGCTGAGGCAGGAGGATCAAAGGTTTGAGCTTCATCAATATAATGAGGCCCTAAGGAACTTAGTGAGACCCTCAAAAAAAAAAAAAAAAAAAAAAAAAAAAAAAAAAAAAAAAAAAAAAAAAAGCTGGGGACGTGGCTTAATATTAGATGCCCCTGAGTTCAATCCCAGAAAACAAAACACACCAAACTCATGGCTTCTATTCTGTGTTTACCTCATTCTACATCTCATCACCATAGCCAATTCTCCTTCCTGTTAATGTTTATGGTTAGTCTGTGAATGTGCTGTAAAATAGACAATGGACTTAATTTTTTTTTTTTTTTTTTTGTGGAGGGGAGTACATGCTGAAAAAATACTACTTTGGATATGTTGGATAAAAAAATAATTTCATTTGTTTCATTTTACTTTTTAATGTGGCTCCAACAAAATTTAAGCCTATATATGTAGGCTTAAATTATATTTCTATTGGATAGTGCCGCTTTAAATGTTGGCATCCTAGGGTTTGGCCTTGCTTCTCCTGAGCCTTACCATCACAGTAAACAAACAGTATGATCATCCATCAATGGCTCATATTAGGGCCATCACAAGACAGACAGTAATATTTTTGGACAAGTATGTTCAGGGTTTCCAGATGAAAGAATTATTGATGGTGCAAACAACCAAGGGAAGACCAATTAAGGTTTTAAGACTGCATGGTATTTAAGCCATAGACTTTAGACTGCTTTAGACAACTCTGTCAATCATCTTTTTAGTGTGCAAAGGAGTTCAAGAAACCTGATTTTTTTTCCCTTTTAAAAAACCAGTTGGTAATGGGATCGTGCAAAACCTAAAATTCTAGTCAACTCCTGATGGTTTGAGAATATGGCACTAACTGTTACTCTATAAGGCCTAATCTAACAAATATGCTACTTCAGATCAAAAATCGTTGGAAATTGTGCCAATTACATCAATTTAACAGACATTGAAATTTGGCACCTGGAAGTAACTTAGCCAACAAAATCTCACTTGTTAAATAAGAAAACTGAAGTAGAAAAAGCTTATTTGATTTCATCCAGATTTTACACAGACAGGATTTTAGAAAATGATATATGTAAATCAAGCTTTGATATGTAAATTTAAAACTCATCAAAACTACTAACCATTCTATAAGCACTCCTTTCAAGACGTTGACCATCTTTTTTCCAGTCAGAAGGTGCAGATGACCTCAAAAATCCTAATAGAAAGAAAGTAACACGAAATTCAGAAGCATCAACTTGAGTATACTTTGGGGATCTGCGTCTGAAATAAGACAAAATATGAAGTGTCCATCAAATTGTGCTAACATTAAAACACACAGACATTCTGACCATTTAACAAAACTAAAATTGTATACCTGAAATGCACAAATACTATTAGCAAACAACTTCTACCAGCAGCCAATTAAGGAAACTCCCCTTAGGCATGCCCATCCCAGGTGTAAAATAGGTCCATTACGTAAACCTTTCTCATTCAGGAGAAGGATAAAAAGTCAACTCCCAGAGGAGTTTCACAACCATAGAGATGAAAGGGCCCTTAAAATTCACACAGTGATTCGGGCTAGGGATGCAGCTGAGTGGCAGAGCGCTTGCCTCACATGCACCAATTGGGTTCAGTCCCCAGTACTGGAAGGAGGAGAAAAAAAAAATTACGTAGTGATTCAACAATCTCATTTTAAAGATGAGGTCAAATGAGATTAGGTTAGTTCCCGGCCCCGCTTCAAAGAAACAGTAAAGCCAGGGCTCCAGATCGTGGGCTCCTTTGTTAAACCACCCAGTCTCTCCATGATCTGCGCTCGAAGGAAACTGCCCAGCGTACCCCCAAATTAACCCTCCGGCCCGAACGCCTGGGCGCAGGGCGACACCCCAGAAGGAATCCACGAGGAGACAGCGCGGGACAGCTGCCCGGCACGCCACGAAGAGCTCCAGGAAATGCGGGACAGCGCCCTGACCCCAGGGCCCGGAGGACAGGTGCCGGGCCTCTCCTTCCTCTCCGCTCTTTATTCCGAACCCCGCGGTCTTCCACGCACCGCACTCTCCCCTGCAGCTCAGAGGATCGCCACGCACCTCCGCCCACAGACCCAGCGGAGCCTCGGCGTCGCCCACACAGTGCTCCGGCGCGTCTACGTCATCGCGCCAAGCACGCTCTTGTGGGCGGAGCGCGCCGGCKAGAGGCGGGGCGATAGGCCAATGGGCGGGGCATGCAGGGGCGGGGTCACGTGCCGGCTGCCACCTGAAGGGAGGTCTCCGGCTGGCAGCCGCCGAGAAGGGTGGTAGCTCCCGCTGGCGRGTTCCGAGGGAGCGGTTGGCGGCAGGCCGAGTCCGCTTGCTGGCAGGTAGGAAGAAGAGGCGGGCTCGTGGGTCGGGCGGGGGCGTCGGTGAAGCCAGGCGCGTACGGGAGTGGGGAGCGGTAGCCCGGCTCGGCCGGGGCGCCCCCGTGAGGGCGCGCGGCCCCGGCGCGACCTGCGGATCCGCCGCGGGCGTGAGGGTCTCTCTCTGGTCCTCTGAAGCCTGGCTTGCTTTTTCTGGTTCGCTGTGGCGCTTCTCTGGTTGCTCCCGAGGCCAGGGGAGCGTATCTCCTGGTGCACCATCCAGGTTCTGTTGACAAGATGATGACCAGAAGGAACAGCCCATCGGACACTCCTGAACCTGCCGGATCCCAGCTTCTAGCTCCCTGACCCCGGAGACTGGGGAGACTGGGGAGACTGGATACCGATTTAGTCTCGAAAACCTGTAACGGTCATTTTAAAGCGAAAGACCACAGAAGGTTCTAAAGTTAATTCCTTTCCGAAATTCTGATGTGGTCTTAATGGAGCTCTCCATTTTTCCAAGTTGCCATAGGTTCTTGCTTTCTGTGCATTGGGTTTTATTGTACTTCCACAATTAAGCTTGTGTAGCTTTTTGCTTCGTGTGTTCTTGTGATCTCTTATGAACCCTTGCTTTCCTACTTATTTCCCTCTTCCCTTATCTCAAATYTTTTCTTTCCATTGGTTCCTATGTCCTTCAGCTCCTTTTAAAATTTGCCTCATTTAGTTTTTCCCAAGCCTCTTTTCCTTGCTTTTGTTTTTCCCTGCCGATCTTCCCTCCTTGAGAATCAGCCCTCCATTTCCTGAGTTCCTTTTCCTTGAACTTGAGCTCCAGGTGCTGGATGGATGCCTGCACTTTAATGACTTGTGTGTAATCTGAACGCCACCTTTCATATTGAAACCATTTTCATCATTCTCTTTCATTCTTCAAAACCCGCTTTTCTTCTAAGCATCCAGATTCAAAACCTGCATCCATATTTACTCAAAAACAATCTCTGTACCTGGAATATACCAGGCACTATTCTAGACACTCTGGGTGCAGTGGTAAACAAGTAACTAATTTTAGTGGGGGCACAGAGACACACCAGGTAACAAGAAGATACCAGATGGTGATATGATAGTGACTGAAAGGGTTACATTGGTTAAAAGAAATAGCCTTCAGTTAATATTCCTGAGTAAAACAAAAACAAAAAAAATAATATATATTAGCAACAATTCACCAGAAATTTTAATGATAAAGAGGTACCATTCACAATGGCATTCAAAACTGCAAGTGTCTAGAAATAGATCAACTAAAGCTGTCTGGTCCTTTAGGTAGAAAATTGTAATGCTTAATTGAAACACATAAAAGTACACCAAGTACCTGAACAGATAGATGTACAATATTCATGGATGGGAACACTCAATGCCAAAAAGATAATAGGTTTCTCCAATTCTATACATTCTGTGCAGTGCCMGTGAAAATCACTGTGTAGTTTTCATGGAATTTGACATTCTAAACCTATAATTTATGTGGAAAGTCAAAGTACCAAGAATAGCTAAGTCAATTTCAAAGAAGAAAATTAAATATGGTCCCTCTCTACTAGATATCAAAGCTTAATATAAACTTGTAATAATTAAGACAGTATGATGTTGGTTCGGGGTAAAGGAGATTCATGGAACAAGATACAGCATCTATAAACACACCCATATACATATGGGAGCTTAGTACACTAAGTTATATCACAAAGTAAGGGGAAAACTGTTCAATAAATGATGCAAAGATACATTAAATCCATTTGGAATAAAGACAGAGTTCTTGCTTCATACCATTTACAACAGTAATTTCTAGATGTATTAAAGAACTTAATCTGAAATACACATTTTTAAGATATTTACAAAAAAATGAGACTATGTTGTCTCTGGGAAAGATTTTTTTGTTTGCTTTGTTGTGGTACTACATATAAGATTTACCATTTTTAGATGTGTGGTTCAGTGATTTAAAAACAAGTTGTAGATGGATGGCATGCCTTTATTTATTTTTTAATGTGGTGCTGAGGCTTGAACCCAGTGCCTCACACATGCTAGGCAAGTGTTTTGCCACTGAGCTACAGCCCCAGCCCTCAGTGATGTTTTTATGTAGCTAGCCCTACTGTTTGCCTTTAGAACATTTTCATCTGCCAGGAAGGATTTCTTAAGTTATAAAAAGCACCATTAGGGCTGGGATTGTGGCTCATGGGTAGAGCACTTGTCTAGCGCATGTGAGGCCCTGGGTTCGATCCTCAGCACCACATTTAAAAAAAAAAAAATCACTGAGCCACAACCCCAGACAACAATTTACTAATAAAACAAGGTTTTATAAGTAAGAATGGAGGGCTGAAATAATGTTTAATTTCATTCCATTTTCACTCCAACTAGGGCAATGAAGCTATCTTTGTGAAGGCTCCAGTGACCTTGCTGTGGTTAAATTTAATGGAATTTTTGAATATTTGTTTCATTTTGTTCTCATAGTATCTCCCTTTTTAGTTGTTCTTAATCTCTTCAGAATTACTGCTTTGTTCTCTACTTAAAATAATTGTTGCAGGTTTAATGTAGCTATAGTTTTAATCCTAAAAGATTTTTAAAATAGAAATTGATAAAACTGACTCTAAAATTATGTGGCAGTGCCAAGGACCTTGAATAGTCCACCTTGAACAGGAATAACAAAGATGGAAAACTTACATTACTTAGCTCAACCCTTACTGTAAAAATATAATAATCAAGACTGTGGTATTTAAGGACAGACAGCTAGATCAGTGGGATATAATAAAGAATCCAGAAATAGGTATACAATATATGATCAATTGATTTTTGAGCAAGGTACAAAATCACTTCAATGGTGAAAAGAAAATTGTCTAAGCAAATTTTATTGGCACTTTCAAATAGCCATATAAAAATAATTTAACCTCAACTCCTGCTTACTCAATACAAAAAAAAAATTAACTTGAGATGGGCTACAGACCTAAATGTAAAAGCTAAAACAATTTTTTAATAAAATGAGACTGTGACATGAAGTGGGCAACAATTTCTCAAGACACAGAGGGCAATAATCATAAAACAATTGGTGAGACTGTTAATATTAAAACTCCTTTTCATCAAAAGGTATCTTTATAAAAATGAGGGCTGGGGTTGTGGCTCAGTGGTAGAGTGCTTGCTTAGCATGTGTGATGCACTGGGTTTGATCCCTAGCACCACATAAAAATAAAGAAATAAAAAATAAAGGTATTGGGGCTGGGGTTGTGGCTCAGCAGTAGAACGCTTGCCTAGCATGTGCGAGGCGCTGGGCTCAATCCTCAGCACCACATAAAAAGTAAATAAATAAAATAAAGGTATTATGTCCAACTACAACTAAAAAATAAAAAATAAAGTTTAAAAAAAGAAAGGAATAAACAAATCAGAATTGGAGGAGTTAGTTGTAATGTGTATGTATATGTGTGTGTGTGTGTGTGTATATATACACACATATGTATATTTGATTAAGGATTTGTTTCTAGAATGTATATAATACTGATAATTCATCCTTAAAATTTTTTTAAATGAGCAAACACTTGAACAGACAGTTCACAAAAAATATGTAAATGGCTAGCAAATATGAAAAAGTGCTCAACATAGTTTTGGGGGAATTTCAAACCAAAATTATGAAAAAATACTATAATGCACACACAGAAAAGGCTAAAATCAAACAGGCTGACAGCATTGTCAAGGATGTGGAACGATTGGAACCCTTATACTCCTGCTTTGTTGGTTGCAATGTAAAATGGTACAGTCATGTTGGAAAAAACTGTCCGTGTCTTACAGAGTTAAACATATAACTTCCCTTCCCCAGCAGTTCCACTCCTGGATATTTACCCAAGAGATGTGAATACACATGTCTGCAAAAAAAGACTTGTATCAGAATACTCATAGCAGCTTATGGTAGGCAGAATACTGACCCCCTCAAAGATGTCCATGCACCAGGCATGGTGGCACACTCCTGTAATCCCAGTGGCTTGGGAGGCTGAGGCAACAGGATCACAAGTACAAAACCAGCCTCAGCAACAGCAAGGTGCTGAGTAACTCAGAGATAACCCTGACTGTAAATAAAATACAAAACAGGGCTGGGGATGAGTGGTTGAGTGTCCCTAAATTCAACCCCTGGTATCAAAAAAAAAAAAAAAAAAAAAAAGGTGTCCATGCCTTAATCCCTGGAATCCCCTGGTTACATAATGTTATATGGCAAAAAGGACTTTCCAGATGGAATGAAGGTTACAGACCTTAAATTGGGAGATTACTTTATATGATCTGGCGTAGTCTGGTGTAATTACATAGTCCCTGAAAGTTAAAGAAGAAAGCAGAAGAGACAGGTGTGGCAATATAAGAAGGACAAGCTGTCGTCAATTCTGAGATGTAGGGGGCTACCTGCAAAGACCAGTCAGAGGGCTCTGGGAGCTAAGAGTGGCCCCCAGATAACAACCAGCAAGTTAATAAGAACCTCCTTGTTAAAGCTGAATGAACTGAGTTCTGCCAATCACTAGGGAACTGAAATCTGAATGAGTCTGGTAGTGGATTCTCCCCCAGAGCTTTCAGTAAGTGGAAGCAGCCCTGTTAAAACCGTGGTTTTACTTTCATGGAACTTGGAACAGAAAAATCAGATCTGGAGTAGGAACCTGCATTTTTTTTAAGTACCTCTGCAGATAGTCCTTTGGACATTTTGAGTAACACTGTTTTATACACTAGTGTTTATTTAAGTAATCATCTGGCCTMAGCCTCCTGAGAAGCTGCAGATGTGTGCTACCACTCAGAGTTCTCCACTA